CGAAGGACATTAGACTCGAGATAGCACAAGTTCAACTTCACAGCGAAGGGACGACTGACTGTCAACAAATAATTTCCCAGTTCCAGAGCCAATTTCAACTTCACGACGGAGGATATTGGACTCGGAACAATACAACTTACTTGGATTTCAACTTCACGACGAAGGATATCCAATTACCAGGCTCAACTTCACGACGAAAAGGCCACCCGCGGTTTCAACTTCACGACGAAGGGAATCGTGCACACAAGCAGCATCCATATCTAGATTGGATTTCAACTTCACAACGAAGGATATCCAACTCAAGGAAGGAGTGGATGTCAATAGACGTTCTAGTTTCAGAGTCAATTTCAACTTCACGACGAATGATATTGGCCTCGAAACAACGCAACTTACATTGGATTTCAACTTCATGACGAAGGATATCCAATTCTCAGGCTCAACTTCACGAGGAAGGGGCCATACAATTTCAACTTCACAAACAGATTGACCCAACTTCACGACGAAGAAGTCATCTGTAACACAACCATACCGAAGCCTCCGGGTCAAGCTTCACCTTCACGACGAAGTATCTTGAGCCAGAAGACGATCCAGGAGCTACCTCCTAATACTCTGAGTTCAATTTCAACTTCACGACGAAGGATTTCGCATTCAAAAGTTTCCAGTTCAACTCAACCCCACGGCGAGGGAGTCATTTCACCAGTCTTAATTTTGGATTTCAACTCTACGATAGAGGAAATTCGATATAGACGAAATTTGTGTCTTTTAATCTTTGCTTTATTTTTGTTACACGATAATGAGCAAAGAGGGGCAGCTGTAGACACGATATTTTGTTCTATGGGGTCACACGTTTATAATATATAGTATACTAAACATACATTACATATATTATATATTATATTTATTTTGGGTTTTTACATGCTTCAGGTCCAATAAAAGACCATTTACAAGACCAAGTGGCCTACACTACACAACTCCAGCAGCTCACGTGCAAACCAACAAAAGGTTAAGGTTGCCTAACCTCATCTCATCCAACCGCTCCGTCTTCAGCGAGATTCCCTCACGCAACACGTCTCCCTTCTCGTCCCACAACCGCACGTTTTTTATCTCCATCAGCGGTGTTTCGGTGGCCATCGGTCGGAATCTGGAAACCAGGCGGCGGTGTTCATCCTTGAATGAACAAGTTGAGAGCATTTTCTGGGATAGGGGGAGGCACTCGTTTAAAATGAAGGAAAATGAGGGGTTTTGGTTTAAGAGTGGTATTTATAGTATCCACCTAGCCGACCCACGACCCGATTCGAAACCATGTGACCCGCGTGTTTCTGTGTAAAATGGGGTAAATCCACTTTTGGTCCCTTTGGTTTTAAAGGTCTGTTATTTTGATCCCAAATCCGGTTCTCAAACCCCAATATTATTCTAATTCGACCACTCAATTCATTTTTCTTTTCAATTTAACCCCTGTTAAATTCAATTTGTATTTTTTAAATCTTTTTTATATATTATGTTTTATTATATATATATTATTATTATTATATGTATATATATATATATTTACTTATTTCTTTTTATACTCTTTTACTATTTTTATTTTTATTATTATTCTTTATATTATCCTTATTATTTTTATTATTACTATTTTTTTACTTATCTATGTATATATATATATACGTTTTTTATATTTTCTTTCTTTTAATTTCTTTTAATTTCTTTTCTTTTTATTCTTTTTCTTTATTTATTATTATATATATATTATTTTTTTATTTCTCATATTTTAGGTATTTTATTTATGTATATATTTTACTTATTATTTTTGTTTTTAACTAATATTATATATATATATATATATACATATTTTATTAAACACTCTATTATATATACATCACCTCACATTTATTAGTTAGGGTCCACATTCTGTCTTTTTTCTTTCTTCCCGTCATTTATGCTTCACCAAATTTAGACTTTTTTTTTCTTTTCGGTGGGATTGTTTTCAATTTTTTTTACTATTTATTATTATTATCATTATTATTTTTACCTAATAATTATATATTAGTATTTTTTTCATATTTTATTATGTTATTACTATTTTTTATTTTACTTAATATTTGTATTTGTATTTTCATTTTTCATTTTCATTTGATTTTTCTAATTTGTTTATTTCTTGTTTATTTGTTTATTTTTATTTTATTTGTTTATTATCTTATTTAATTTTTTATTGTTTGTTTTATCTTTTTTTACTTCCTATTTTTAAGTCATTTATTTATCAATTCTTTCTTCTTTTTTACTTGGGTTTATTTATTTTATTCATTTATTCATTATCTTTTCATCTGACATTTTTTTTATTTTTTTAAGGGGACGATTTAAATTCATCAGAGGTAAATAATTTGGGTTCATATGTTACCTTTAAATTTTGACTTTCAATTTTCTTAATTAAAGACAACTGGAAACTACGTAGTATCGAAAGGGCAGTTCAAGGGTGTTAACCCTTCCTTGACTGTAACCGACTCCCGAATCCGACATATCTTTGGTAAGACGCATATCAGGTAAGACATAAGGTATCCGATCAACCCATTTTCTTTAAAATAAATGGTCGATGGCGACTCCTAACCCAATTCATTCAAGTCGAAGCCCAATTCTGGGCCCAACCGAAAGACGGTTCCGACACTAAGTTTTCTTAATAATAATACAGTACTGATTTATATTTTTATATAAAAATTTACACATGTAGATATAATTACATCTAATATAATTTTACCAACCTCCTCCTCATCAGGGATGGACTTAGAGATAGACATATGGAGGTGGTTGTCCCTCTAAAAATTTCAAATTCTTATATATTTAATTTTTTTGTATTCTTTATTGACAATATATTTTCACCCCTTAAAATTTTTTAAGTTCTCTCATATTTAGAATTTTATAGGTTCGTCACTCCTTACATGAAATCATGTATTCTACCTATTCCCCACCATAGTTTGAGATCACCTCATCAACGACATATCTCGACTTCATCACTTTCAACATCTCAATCATTTGAAATCATAAAAAAATTCAATACTTCAATTGCTTATGGAATTTATTGTTATCTCTCGAGATTCCGGATTCGAACACTACATATGCAAGGATACGAGTGTTCATTTTCAAATGATTAAAAGTCTTTGAACATATACTATCTTGTATTCATCCAAGATTTATATAAAAAAAATACTCATAATCTTCAGTGCCACGTCTGTCAAATTTGAAAAAGATCATCAATTGATAAATTGTTAAAAAAAAATAGGTATTCAATTGTAAATTTCAACTAAACTTTTAAAAGGTTGCTCAAAAGATAGATATTATTTAAAAATTATGTGATTAAAACATGTTTAATCAAAACTACGAATTCTAAAACAAACTGAAATTAAATTGGACGTGAATTGGCTAAGATATGATAAAGGATTAATTTGCAAAAATTCAAAATCAATGGGAGAATTTTGAAATTATTCTAAGAGTCTTAAAATTTATGTTCCAGAAAGTTTAGAAGTATCTAAACTCCCTGAATTTTTCAAAAACTATTTATAAAGTTTCAATTTTTTTATACCCAATTTGGATATTTTTGTTTAGAAATACTAAGTATCATTTCAAAAGATGCCTAAATCATAAAAAATAATGCTTATATATAAAATTAAAACATGACATATTTGATCACTAAATCAAAACATACATATACTTTTAAAACTAAAAACTTATAAAATTAACTTTACAGACCATTTCAATATATATAAAAAGACTTTAACCCAACTTATATTATGTACATGCCACTATTACCCGGGAAGAGAGTATATACATTGGTTGTGATCAGGGATGAGTTGGGTTTGATCGAGTTTTCGGTCAACTTGATCTGGTCTGAAAGTTCATATCTCCATCGAAAATTTTACTCGACTTGAGTTTAGTGTAATTTCACCTGATTTGAAATTTGATCCAATTTTTGATAAAATTCGACTTCGACCCGAAATAATATAAAATTATTAATTTTATTCAATAAAATAGAGACTTAATTGAAAAAAAATATAAAGATGAATATTATTATAATTATCCTTAAATATATAATTTATAATTATATTATTTTTCAGATTGAATAGGGTATTTTCACTCTAAATTCGAACCTAGCCCCTCCCGAACTTACATCTAGAAAACCTACTCAAACTCGGTTTTTTTTTAATAAAATCCAACCCAATAAAATTGAGTCAAAAACCATCAGGTTCGAGTATCGTTCCCATCCAATTGTGATTACATTATATTTTAATAACATATTTATATAATGTTTTTTCTTTAATATTTTTAATGAGATACCTATCATTTAATAAAATATTTTATATGTTTTATTGATAAAACAATTAATATAATACATATATTTTTAAAATGTTTAATATGATATTTATATTTTATAAAAACTAAATATGATATTAAAATTATTATTTCATACATCATCATGTTACATGGATTAAATTGTTAATAAGTATCAAATCGATTAATGAAAATTCACATGTATTATGAATAATAGAGAGAATGATAGTTTAAAATCACACTAGGAAGTTTAAAATTACATATATTAAATTATATATTTTACTAAAATATAAATATTGTATTGAACATTTTAAAAATACGTGTATCATATTAAATATTTTATCAAAGTATAAGTATTAAATGTGATATTACCCTCAGGAAATAAAAACCAAGGGTGGAGGACCTGCATTGTCATTTGCCACTTAAAAGGGACCATGGTTCCAAGTTCAAACTCGAAACGGCAAAGATCAATTAAAAGGGAAGTGTCATCATCGTCATCACTCACCTTTCGATTAGGTATCTTTTCTTTTCCTCTCACTTCCGATTTCAATTACACCAGCTTCTTCTCAATTGTAAGGTTTAAGTGCCCCGTCTATTTTTATGCTTTTCACATGTTTGAGAAAATGCCTTTTAGCCAAATTCAGTTCTAAAAGAACAATTCCAGATCGGCTCACAAATTTTCCTTTTTTTGTTAAAGGAAGGAAATTCACTAACGCTTTGTTTCCAATCTGGGTTTTGGTAATTAAAAGCAAAATAGCAATGGATATGTAACTTCGTTGCTGTTTTTTTTATTTTATTTTCTTTTGGAAGAATATTTAGGTTAAAACTTTGAAATACTGATCCTTTAACCTTTGGGTGTCCATACTTATGCATTTTCGAAAGGTAGTTACTGAAGTTGAAGAGAAAAAGATGGCAGAACTGAGCCTTGGCATACTTATAGATATTGTTGATGAGGAATGGATGAGAGATACTCTGCCTGATGATGGTATTGATTATATCAAAATCCGCTTGAAAATTTTTATAGATGTTTTACATCAGCTATGTAACCAGGTTATAGATATAGTTCATATCTGTTTGCTATTCATTATATTAAGAAGATTTGTTTGAATATAAAAATTGCCTGAGTAGATTATTGCTTTAGCTGATTAGTTCAAGTTTATTATTGGTTAACAAAGCAGGTAAATTTACATATAGATCATGTGTAGTTTTTTTAATTCGTTAGGTTAAAATTAGGCTTCTAATTCTTACGTAGATGTTCATTTGAGGAGATTTTGCATAAGATGGTAGTTTAGCATTGATTACAGAAGTAGCATTCTTCACCTTGTGTTACAAGGATGCTGCTTGTACCACCAAAACTGTCATTTGGACTCGTTGTGAGTGGTCAACATGGGTATCTGTTCAACACAGTATGTTCAGTATTTTCTAATATTTCCATTTATTTGGAGAGTCGTTGATGATATATCCCCATACCTTTGTTCGGATATTTGTCAGACATGAGTATTTCAAGAAAGATGAAGGCTTAGAGTAACGTAGGACCACAGTGATTCCATAATTGTAGAGTAGTTGCGGCTTTCTGTTTCTCTTGTATATTTTCCATGAGAAACATGAAAACCTGTCACTTGAGGATCTTCTGGTTGCATTTTGGGGGGCATGGAATATGATCCTATTCAATTGTCATCCCTTTTCCTTTCTCTTTCATAGCTGATTTCTTTATCTTGTTACTGATCAATGCAGATCTTCAACTCCCACCTGTAATGGTTGCTCGCACTGATGATACTGAAGACTCAAGTAAATTTATGAATATCAGATTATACGTTTTTTTCTATCAATGGCATTATGAAAACAAATCTATCATTCGTTGTGTAAATGCTCATGTTTCTTTCCTGTTTATGGCTGAGAACATACAAGGAGTCTATGCATCAATATATGTCGAACTTGAAGGAAAATATAGCAAGTTTCTTTTGTGAATTCTTACAGTGTTTTAGACAAATTTAGTGTATCTGATCTTTGTCCTTTTCTTTTTCGAATTTATTAAAATTTCAGATCACGAGACTCAACAGGTGGATAGCAATACCTGGCATGATCTTGAATTAAGTACTCAATGAGGGTCTTGGATGCTGACAATGCTTGGTAACTCTATGAAAATGTTTGTCCTAAGACTTAAATTGCTCTCTCTTTTAATATGTAGAACTAAGATACCTATGGATCATTCAAGAAGGTTTGCTCCTTAATTAGAATTGTGGATTTTCATCCCTGGTCATTGATTGCTATGTTTATGAATAAAAGATTCATTGGTGTCACTTTACATCTATGTTACTCCACCTCTTTAATTTTCTGAAATCCCGTGTTTGACAAATACTCGAGCATAGATATGGGGGTATGGTATTCCAAGGACCCTACAAATATGCATGGAAATCTTGGAAAATATTTTATATAGTATTGTTGCACACATACTTAAGTCCAAGTAACTTAGTCTTGCATAAACAGAGCATTATTAAGAAAAACAGTGCAACTGTAATATCTTGTGTATTTCATTGGTCATCTAAGGTTGCCATATCTATTGTTGATTGTCTAGCCAGTAGCCACAAGCCATTTGTTTGAAGGGTAATTTGAATTTACATATGAGTTACTGCATTCGAGTATTCAAGTTCTTATGCTTTGTGGTCCTAGCGGCTTTTACTACATTGTAGATTCGCCCCTGTTAGTTGGTAATCTTGATATAAGAATACTTTGCCTGAGGATTAAGGTTTAGGATTTTCAGGTTTAGGCCATTAATATATGTTTCCCTAACTCCTCATTTTCCCTGAGGCTGTTAGGGCATAGTTTTCTATATGGTTACGAGGATTGGATCCTTCAAAGACCATCTAACGTGGAAAAATCTAGAAAAGTTTAAGATATTTGTTTAGATAAAAATCCACATCCAGTATTCACACCCGAGTTTGAGTAACATAGTTGTTAACCAATGTCGATTATAGATGCCGACATACCTTTGAAAATGACAGTTTCCTACAATTGGATATTGCAGGTTCAACATAGTTTCATCTTTGTTGAGCCGAGCTTGAGTAACTCATGCTATTGAGTAAGTCGAATTTGAATATCTTAATACTCGATTCAAGTAATATGTGCTTCTTTTCATTATTTAAATATTTTTTTTATCATTTTATTTAGTACATATTAGAGGAGAAAGCTCCTTTTTTTTCTACTGAAAAGAGTGTGGGAAACTAATAGCATATGATGCTTTAATAAAAGTCCAGTGGTTTTCTAAAGAAAGATCCATTGGTTTTGGGCTTTCATTATCACAAGAAAAGCAATGTTTAAGCAGGGAATAAAGGTACATAGATATGTATACCGACAAGTTGTTCGGGTTTTAACTATTGTTGATTAATGTTTGAGCTTGAGCTGCAAAAGGAGGCTTTAACTCGAATGGTTCACACTCATAATAATAATCAATCTTGTCAAATTCAAGAAACAGCTCCCACAATTTTTCTGAAGGACCACTTAAACAAACCAAAAGAAGGGAAAGTAAATGCTTAACCATTTTTGGATAACACTTCCATTAAAACAAGACAATGACATCACTTTAGCCATTTGTTCTTGCTTTCGGATTCCTTACAGAACACCTATTTTAACCTAACGACCCCCGACCAGTGAACGACACCTTCGTATTCTGGCATGCACCAGTCGACATTTTCTAGTTTAATCAGAATCGGTTTAAGCTTTAATCACTGTGTTTTAGAATCATTTTATCCGTCTTTTGGATAGGTTAGCTTTCGCAATTGGATTCCTTGGATTTTGTTCACCTTGCTGTCTTTTTTCTTCTTCTAGAAACACTAACGTTAATGTATTATGCATACATGTAATTTGTTGTCAGGTGCAAAATAGTTACGGGAATTCGGATCATAAACTCTAACAGCTTGAAATATTTAGTTTTTTTTTAATTGATATCAGAGACATTGAAACGAGACATGACAATGATTGAATGGATATTGTTTAGGAAGAATCTGGTGTAGTAAAAACAGCACAGCAGTGGGAACGTTATTAGTCAATGGTGGTCACCGTCAAACAATTTCTGACAAAGGAAGAAACTTCTGGTTTCATACATGACAAGTTGAACCTACCTAATACTACCAATTACTTCTTATTCATCTTTTTCATATTGGAATGACAAAAATTTGGACATCAGTCCACATCTCTGTCAATTTCTTTGTTCTTTCTGAAGATATGAATATATAGTAAAAGTAATCCACTTTACAGAACAGTGTATCAATCGCTAATCAAAATATAAAGGTGCCGACACTGTAAATGGGTGACTGATAGTAACAAGGAAGGTATAGACCCTACAATTCCGGCAACTACCAGACTCTTCCGAGGCCATGCTTATGGCTATCGGATTCGACTATTGAATATTACGGATATGCTTAACTTCTGGACACAAGGAAAATAAGTTCATAACAGAAATGCTAAAATGTACAGCTTTCATTGATGCTTAAATTTTCAATGTTTTTGGACCAAAACTTGCCCTTAGTCACACGTAGATGAACTTTAATCTGTGTATACAATTTCAGGGAAACAGAGATGTGAAAAAATGGTTTCCTTTGGAGTTTATGTACTAGTTATTCGTAAAACTGGGAGAGACCTGCGCATTTCAAGAATGAGGTCAGTGGCCTTCCTTTTAGCCCTTTCAGTCCCTGTATCTGCAAGTTCAGCTAAAGTCCTATTGGTTGTTTCTTCGGTCCAGAGCTCCCTCAGAGAAGCCTCATTTTTCGAGCACACGCTGAACAGGATGACAACGCACTTCTCCTTGGTGCGTTTGGAGTAGCTACCTCTCATTATCTGAAACAAGTAGTGTACTGTATGGGCTTCTCTGAGCTGACCAATGGCATTGGGATGTGTAGATAGCAGTGCGAGAATGCCAAGAAGCTCATCGACGAGCATGGGACCGTTGATAATATGCAGGATCACTTGCACCGCACCTATTTCAATAAACCGTGTTTTATTTTCATACACCTTACATAGATTGAATATAGTCGAGGCCGCTTCCCTCATCGCCAATGGATGCCCTCTGTGTAGGAGTTCGAGTAGAGTTACGTGAGCCCTTGACTTTCCAATAATCAACTTGTTCGAATCGAGCTGTGATAATGTGGAGAGAACAGCCGTAGCAGTTATTATTGTTTCAGTGGTACCATACTTCATGGATTCAATAAGAAGAGGAATCACAATAGGGTTTTCACCCATATCTTCCTTATTGTTGTCATCAGTAGAAAGGTTCAAAACTGTTTTGATCAAATCTTCCTGGAGATCGGGATGCAACTCGACTTTGCTTTCCGACAGAGGTCTAAGCAATGTAGAGAAGGCATTAGGTATCTGACAAAAAACCGTCCTATTCGACGGGTTTGCCTTTGTTAGTCTCATAAGCTCTTTCGCGGCTTCCTTTTGATCAGAACGGGAAGAAGAAGACATCTTTCCAAGCAGTGAGTATAAGTAATTAAGGTCCGTCTCTTCAATCTCGTCTCCATTGATATCCTGATGGGATTCCGGTACTGGAACGCCCCTTACTCCGCACCAGCGTGTAATCAATTCTCGAACCAAACAATTAGGGGTCAGGATAGAGTAGGAGAGCACTTGCTTGGACCGAGGGCATGTCAAGTTGCCCTGATTCACCCAGCTCTCGATGTATGGCCTATCGTAAGTCTGGAAATCAATAAGATTCCGTCAATGCAGATGATCAAGAAGAAAACAATAAACTCGAAGACTAAATACAAATAATTGATCCGAAAGAATGTTAAGATATGAAATCATAAAAATCATACAAATGTTGCAGGCTAATGGAAATCAATGAAGAATAATTAGCAAATTTTCTCAAGAATTTCCACGTAGTTAGAAGATCGTAATCCAAATGCATGACAACTTAAAATCCAAAAAGAAACAGTTCCTCTATGAAGCAACGAGTAATGCTTTTGAATCTTCCAACAGCCTAATAAAGACTAAAACATACCCTTCAATAAAAGAAAATCTGAAGAAAACGAATGTAGATTTCTAAATAGACAAGAAAAAATTACAAAAGATCCAAGGTTCTTTAAAGGGTAACCTGCCCCGAAGCCAAAACAACAGGATCGGCCATGATTTGACCCGAAAGAGGACACGTGAATGCATCGGTGAGAACCGTGTCATCCAATTCCAATCCAAGGCCAGCGGGTTTCTTCAGCTTCGATTCAGTCAAACGAGTCAAGATTCTTATGGCTTCAATTATTTTCTCGATTCCATAATCAACTTCTTCGAGTATCATCTTCATTACGCTTTCCAGTTCTTTCTTTAGCTCTGCTTCTTTCCCTCCTCCTATCGCTGCCGCCGACTCCTTTTTTTCAGCCATTCTTATTGGGTTTTCTTTGGAAAAGAAAATGGAAGAGGAAATATCGAAAAACGGAGCTGATTCAATGGATTACCTATATGCTCTCTTCAGTTTGCTCTGTTTTTTTCTTCTGTTTTCACCATTGAAAAGAAGGGCTCTTGCTTTCACAGAAGGGAAAAAGGAACCACAATTTCAACACCCAGTAAAGAAAGAAAAGTGGGATTCTGTTTGGGAAGAGAGAAAAGAAAAAGAGATTGGGAGTTGGATTGAATTGAATTTTCTTAATGGCCTTTCTTTGTTTAATACGCTTTCTTTAAAGAAATTTCTGTTACATATACACTTTCATAGTTTCAACTTTCAACTTTATCAACTAGCACTCAAGCAGCTGATGCTGATGCTCAATAATCTGTTGCCACGCAATCACTTGTAATCTGTCAAAAGAACCAACTCTTACTGGGGAAAAAACGACTCTTTGTAGCCTTGATCTTCTTGTTTTCAAACAATTCTGTTTGCTTCTGTTGAATTTTTTCTTTAAAAAAAAATACCATTTAGGAAATGTTTGTGAAAAAAAAAAGTAATAAATAAAAGAAGTCAAAACTTTGAGATTCAAAAGAATGCCACCAAAAGCTCAAGTTAATGCAATTTTTAATATAATTTGGAGAACTAATAAAATTAGCTCACCCTTATTCTCATATGGAATAGGGAAAGAGGGAGGTAAGATAGTAGGTTGTCGCTAACATCAGATTGAGAGCAGTTTTCATGAGAGACCTCCAAATTATGAAATGCCCTCCGTGGGAAAGCATGGTAAATAAAAAGCATGTAGCGTTTCTACTGGGGAAAGGATCGAGAGAGACTGAGTTGTCTCGTTCAAATTTTAATTTCTCATAAAATTTAAATAATTTGTGTGCTTTTTTAGTAATAATATGTTTCTCCCCTAAAATTTTATAAATTCTCCATTTAACATAACATCTTATGTCCATTTTTTTATTTCTATGTCTTTCTACTTGTTAAACATAAATAACGAAATATTAAACATAATATAAAGTATATTAAAATATATATTAGTTGATGATTACTTGTTGATTAATTTCTCATACATAGCTAAATTCTAGGAATTATTTAGACAATAGAATATAAAACATTGTTTAAGAATGCTTAAAGCAAGAGTTCAACTCTGGATTATAGATGAACAAAAAACATCCATGCTCTTCCCTCTGTAAGGGCCACTGAAAGCCAAAAGTCATCCCTTGCAATCTGCAAGTAAACAACATTAACTGGAAGTGAACTTAAATCAAGAAGGGCTTATAGATGAGTGGCAGCAAGAATATATGTGCATGAAAACATCAGACGATGACGAGAAGGAGGAGAACGACGTGTCCGCCTGAGAATTTTTACAAAATGGATAGTGTGAGGCCACAAGATACCATGTCAAACCAGTAAAATCCTTACTAATCTACTTTTATCTGTTTCAACTTCCAACAGTCGCCAAAGGATTTGCCACCTCATCCTTGTGATAACATCTTTTACATTTGTATGCTTTCTTTCTTTTACATTGCTCACGACCTGAATCAGGCAAGCGGCTACATATATAATATGGTACCTGCAACATCCTGAAGGTATAGCACAAAAACCAAAATTGACCATAGCAAAGCATTTTAAGAGACGAGCTAGAACAAATATCTGAAACATATCACATCCTCACCTCAATTGCTCATCTGATACCTTATGCCTTCTTGATTGTTCAAAATCCTCAAATCTTGAAGATGTACTATGCTGGTCCACAGACGCAAGATTTTATGTTGGGGGAACTTATACTTGAGGAAGATGAACTAAAATTCCAGGGGCAAACTAAAATTCTAGGGGAACAGATTTTCAATAGGAAATATATAAAAAAAAAATTTAAAATATATGGTAATTTTAAATTTTTAGGGGATGACTGCCCCCACCTCCTCCTCGGTCCATCCCTGTGTCTGTAATGGTTTCGTGTTAGCCCTCACTGCTTTAGAATATCATTGGCACCTTTTCTATGCTCATCGTCATCCGCTGCATGGATGATAACAAATTATATCCCTCATAACCTATAAAAAATATTTAGTAATAAGATAAAGCATTACTTAAGAAGAACAAAAACCTTTCAAATTATCAGACTCCACATTTACCTAATTTAAATCCCTTGTAAATAATGACTCCTAAAAGTTACCCTTCTACATAATTTGACTGAACCATTTGGAACTTCAACAACGGAACAACGAACAAGATATTATGAAATGAAAATTTCTTCACTCCCTGTGCAGGAATGAAGGCTTCTCAATCAATTGTGTCAGAAGGTGTTTTTTATAATAGAAAAGAAATAAAAAGAAAGCAGCATTCATAGCTGAAACAGCCAATAGCTCCTCTCTAGTTTTAGTCCTATTTGTTAATTAAAAAAGGAACTGTGAGTTCAAAAGGTGTAGTTGATGCGGAACACTATTAAGCTGATCGATGGGTAAACTTCCTTAAGAATTTATCTTGAAACTTGTGTGTTTAGGGCCTAATTGTAATGTTTTTTTTAGATCTAGAGAGGCAGTTTACACCTATATTAGTGTTTAGCATATCATAGTGTCCTTTGCAATCCTATTAGGCTTTGTGTTTAAGTCAGTTTATTGTTCTACTAAAAGTCTCAAGTATTTCCTCCAAAGTCTATAATCTATATAAATATCACTGTACTATTTCATTTTTTAAGAAAAGATTATGATTATGATATTTTTTTGGCATTATTGATATGAGATTGTGTGATGCAAATCCAAGAGAACCCTACATGTGATGGTTAGTTTCTCTTTAGATGAAAAGAAGGAACGATAAGTGTAAGGCTGTAAGCTTCCAGGGTTATCTTTCTCCTAGGGAACCCACTTTTGGTTTTAAAAAACTCATAATTATTGTTATCATAATAAACCCTGGAACCCTAATCTGTTACAGAAGAATTAAGAGGAAGATACTAGCCAGTTTGATAGAGCAAAGCATGGAAGTTGTAAATATCAAACCAAGAGACATCAGCTCTCTCTGAAACATTCACATGCTCAGCCATCCTACACATCCATGTCTGCGTCCATTATGCTAACTAAATGCAACAAGTCTAAGGCAATAACATTTTTCTCATTAACTAAATAAATTCAAGTTTATATGTAAATATCAAACCAAGAGACATCATTATGATTTATAAACAAGTATAATATTGAATTGCAAAAAATACAATTCCAACCTACCTAATACCACCAATTACTTCTTATTCATCTTTTACTAATTGAAATGACATAAATTTGGACATCAGTCGAACTTTCCGTCAATTGCTTTATTCTTCCTGAAGATATGAACTTATAGCAAAAGTAATCCACTTTACAGAACAGTGTACAAATCGTTAATCAAAACATAATGGTGCCGACACTCTAAAAAGGTGACTCTGATAGTAACAAGGAAGGAAGAGACCCTACACAATTCCAGCAACTAACCAGAGTTAGACTCTTCCAAGACCACGCTTATGTTTATCGGATTCGAGGCGAGTGTCAGATATTACGGATATGCTTAACTTCTGGACACGGGTAAAAGGAATTCATATCATAAATGCTAAGATATGTACAGCTTTCATTGATGCTTAAATTCTCAATGTTTTTGGACCAAAACTTGCCTTCTTTCACATGTAAATGAGTTTGAATCTGTGTGTGTACAATTTCAGGAAAAAAAGAGAATTGTACAAAAACTGTTTTCCCCCTTGGGGTTATATTTACTCAAGTCGTTATTCGTAAACTTGGGAGAGCCCTGCGCATTTCAAGAATGAGATCAAAGGCCTTTCTTTTAGCCCTTTCAGTCCCTGTATCTGCAAGTTCAGCTAAAGTTCTATTGTTGGTTTCTTCGATCCAGAGTTCCCTTAGAAATGCCTCATTTTTCGAGCACACACTGAACAGGATAACAGCACAGTTCTCCTTGGTAATTCCAGAGTAGCTATCTCTCATGATTCGAAACAAGCAGGGTACCGTATCTACTTCTCTGAGCTCTTCAATAGCATTGGGATAAGTAGATAGCTGTGCGAGAATGCCAAGAAGCTCATCGACGAGCATGGAACCGTTGATCATCTGCAGGATCACCGGCACCGCACCTATTTCGATAAACCGTGTCTTATTCTCATGCACTGTACATAGATTGGTCATCGTCAAGGCCGCTTCCCTCATTGCCAATGGATGTCCTGCGCGTAGGAGTTCGAGTAGAGTCACATGAGCCCTGGATTTTCCAATAATCAACTTGTTCGAATCGAGCTGCGTTAATGTGGAGAGAGCAGCAGTAGCATTTATTATTGTTTCAGTGGTACCATACTTCATGGATTCAATAAGAAGCGGAATCGCAACAGGGTTTTCACCCATCTCTGCCTTATTGCTGTCATCAGTCGAAAGGTTCAAAACTGTTGTGATCAAATCTTCCTGGAGATCGAGATGCAACTCGACTTTGCTTTCCGACAGAGGTCTAAGCAATGTAGAGAAGGCATTAGGTATTTGACCAAAAGCGGCCCTATGCGATGGGCTTGTCTTTGTTACTCTCATAAGCTCTTTCGCAGCTTTCTTCCGATCAGAACGGGAAGAAGACATTGTAGACATCTGTTTTTGTTCGGGTCTTTTTTATTTTGTTTTATTTATTATTATCGTTAATTATATTATTATTATTATTATTACTAATTACAAGTTACATTTTGTAGGCTAATCCCGAGGCCCAAACCTGAAGCCCACCAATTACAACCAACAGAAGCTCCGCAACCCACCAGCAGCAGACCCAACAAGCTGGAGCCCAGACCCAACAAGTTGGAGCCCAGACCCGGTTCAGGCCCAATACCAATTCCAGACCCGATTAGCAACCCGACCCGGTTCCCTAGGGTTTCTAAAACCCTAACCTAAGGGATATCATTAGCTTAGCCGTCGCCTGCTGCTGCCACCCACTGATGCCGCCGTTCTAGTCTGCAGTGAGGAGAAATTTACATCAACAGTAAAAAGCAGGCACAAATCAATCAAGGGAAACCCATTTTAAATTACCCTAAATCCCGAAAATATGGGATTTTCACCCAGCTATATAGAGAAATCAAAGCCTATCGAATAGATGTTATCATCTCACCCAAAGAGACCATAAAAAGTAACATGCAATCAAAGGAAGAGGGATACCATTTTCGAGAGGAAAAAAAACAAGAGAGAAACCGAGAGGGGGTTTCCAGAAAAAAAGAAAAAAAGGAGAGTGGATTAGGGGAAATTCGAACCACAGCAAAGAAAAAAAGAGAGGAGAGATTTACCTAGGTTCGAAGCAGGGGAGCCCCAAAGTCACCGTGGAATCCGAGAGGTCACCGTAGTCTCGGTGTTTCCGAAGGTATCTATCCTAAATCTAAAGGTTTAGGTTTGATTTTAGGCTAAGGTGTGGTGTTTTTCGGGTTGTTAAGGGGGAGAGGAAGCTTTTTGGGTGTCTCTCTCTCTCTCCCGACCGTTGGCTCTGCCGCGTTTCCCTCTCTCCGGCGAGGGAAGTTGAGATAGTTTGTTTAACTCTCTCATTTCCCTCAGTTGCAGAATGAAGGAAATGAGGAAATGGGATCCCACAGCCCGTGTTTTGGGCTTTTATTTTCCCAACAATGCGACGTCGTTTAACGGGGGAGGGATACCGCGTTTTTATATTATGAGATAACTACACTTTTAGTCCCTATGATCTTGTAATATTATTATTAAATCATTAAATGAAGTCTCATTTTCTTTGATTTCGAGTACTTACATTTCAGAATTTATATTTAAGTCACTAGTTTGTTTATTTTACCATGTTTGTTTATATTTGACATTGGTCATATTATTTGTGATTACCTCATTCTAGTCAATGGTTTATTGTGTTATCATATTTTGTTAATATTTGAATTTAGCCATGGTATTTGTAAATTTATTATTTTAGTCACTATCCATGTTTTATATCATCTTTGTCTATATTTGATTTTGTCTTCAATATTTTCAAATATTTCAATTCGATCACTGATTCCATGTATTTTATAATCTTTGCGCTATTCGAATTTGGCCACCATATTTGTAATAATTTTATTTTAGTCACTGTTGGATATTTGGTTAAATTATTGTTTAGTCCTCTATGTATATGGTTATTTTATTTTAGTCCATTATGTTTATGTATTTCTATTTTAGTCCTATTAATATATGTTATGTCATTTTTGTGGATATTTGACTTTGGTCCCAATGTTTGTAATAGTTTCATTTTAGTCCCTGATTTTGTATGTTAGGTATTTTGGTTGATGTTCGAATTTATCCCTGACATTTATGAATATTTTATTTTAGTCATTTATGTATGATTTTATTGTACTTGTTATTCAGTTATTTGTATTATGTAAATATTTTTTTAGTTTCATTTAATGTAAATATTTTATTTTGTATTTCCAATTACATTTATTTATTTTACATTTCTATCTATGAATGAAATATATGATTTTTATTTTCAAGGACACGTATTCGTAAAATGAGCGTGGAAAGTACCACTTGGTCGAAGTGGTGCGATCTTGTACGACATTTTAATGATATAGTAACTTGAAATAATCGAGTTTTTGCTATTAATTTATTTATTTTAATAATGCAATGTGTGTTATTTTTAATTCATTATTTATTTCCTTTTATTTGAATGCAAACGTCAATTTCATTTATATTCTATTTTTATTTTATCGAAGAGGAAATATTTTTTTACGAATGAGAAATGGTTGATATAGCTTTTCCGACGGAGAATTGCAAATTTCAAGATTTCTTATTGAGTTAAAGGATTTTCTTTAAATAGTTAATACGAAACAAATTAATCAAATTTCAACAAATGAATCATAATTTAATTGTATATTCGATTCATCATTTTCACCATTATGACAACGTGTAAGCGACACAATACCAATTTTGGGCGTTGTGGGGGTGGTTATCCTTCACCACATGTAATCGACTCCCGAACTATTTTTAATCGAATCTTTGGTAAATGCATACCATTTTTGTCTTAAAAAATGATTTTTCTTAAAATCGTTTTTAAAAGACATTTTTAGGTATTCGACCTACCTAACCCAAAGGTCGATGGCAACTCCCTTCAATTTAATCCAAATTAATCCAAAATACTCAATTTTCCAAAAATAAAAGTCATAACTGTTTTTAAAATAATATTTTATTGTTCTACAAAAAAAAATGGTTATGACAGCTTGGCGACTCCGCTGGGGACATTTTTTAGAGAGTCAAGCTGTAGGTCGCTTACACATTGTCGTTGTGGTTGAAATTATGAGTTCGAATCTTTAGTTAACTTCTGATTCATTTATTGAAGTTTTTTACTTGCTTCAATTTTATCTGTCATACTAACAATTTAATCTCTGTTTTTAGATTCGTCAAGGTTTTATCAAGTTTTTTCCTTGTTTCATTTTCCTTTTAAGTTAAAGGTAGGTACGTTCCTCCTTAGACACATCACATACATTTGCATAACATAAGCTCTAGACACGAGCTTCGATCCAAATTAGTTAGGGTGATTGCTTTACTCTCATAAGAATTTATTCTTCGTATGAGTTTTAGCAATTAACCCATGGGATACATACCTTATACCTTCGTAGGGATTTATTCCTTGTATGGGTATAAGGCAGTGAATCCCCTCGAATTGAACTCGTTCCGTTCGAAACCTGTAATGGGTGAGGATCGAGGGTCTGGCAGCCCAAGGGGGCACCGACATTAAGGACAATTCAAGTCGCATTTTCTTGTTAGAGCCTAAACCATGCATATAGTGAACCGTAGAATGGTCACCCTAGGTATTGTCATACCGAACCTCTGTCCGTCAGTAGGTACCCAAAATAGGTGTACACAAAGGAGGAGCGTTTCTGAACCTTTCATTTTCCTTTTAAATTATGTTAAATAAAAGCATGTGAACTAGATACCATGCGGTTAGGATCAATTTCTTGAAAAAAAATCATTTTGGGTATATAACATGTTTGGGCATGAATGTTATTTAATTAAAGCATGTTCGGGTAGATATCATGACGGGGTAGGTGTTATATTAATCTTTGAATAACATTTTTATCTATATCGATTGTCTTGCATGTACTAACTAATTTCTTTTGTTTGTGTGCACTAACTTATTTCTTTTCTGTTGTTTGTGTCATTTTTCATTTTATTTTTCATTGCATTACATCGTCATAACATAATGTGAAAGTGTTGATCTACAAGGGGATATCCATGAGAAAATTTTCACAAGAAGATGTGAAAGTTTTCAATCAAGCAGTCACGAATACAGACATGCACCGAAGGCTACAAGAAGTCCAGAATACAAGAATGAGACTTGCTCGAAGATCTACAGCATTCGAGACTAAAATGATGATACACTGATTCAAAGAGTAATCCATCAGTGGCTTCAGCATGTCATCGCTAGTCATTAAGGATCGACGCACTGGCTTCAGCATAGTCGAGGCATTAATGGAGTTAGTTTAAAGAGCATTAAGGGGCATCAGTTCCAAATACAAAGATCCGAGACGAAGCAGTGAGCTCGAAGACTGTTCAACATTTGAGACTGAAACAATGATCCATTGAGCCGAAGAGTAATCCAGCAGTAGATTCTCATCTACAATTATTTCATCGCTATTTATCAAGGAGTGACGCACCGACTTTACCACCGCAGAGGCATTAACCGAGTTAGATTACAGAACGCTTAAGGGGCGTTATTTTTTAGGACAAAGATCCAAGACGAGGCAGTGATCCACTTCAGACTCAGTATCCAAGCGAAGGCATGTTTGTAAAGTGAACTGTCTTGTAATGTGAAGACTTTTATCTCTGGTGAAAATTATTCTAAGATATTCATCGTTGGGATCAACATTTTTGCATCTACATTTGCATATCTGTATTTTGCATCTGTATTCCATTTTAAACATTTTTGCATACATCATTCATAAAAGAAATGAAGGATTCAATGAAGTGGTCCTAACCACGTGACACTACATAGAAGCAAGATTCTAATAAATTAATACAGTGGAAGCATATTCAGCTGGTGGTAGGACTGAGCCTCATTCCAAGATGATTTAAGAAAGAGTCCCCATATCCTGAGAGCTATGATGTTGATCCAGTATGCAATTACCATCTAAGAAACTCTGGACATTCTACTGAAAACTCCAAGGCATTGAAGATCAAAATCCAGAATCTGATTCATTCAGGGGCATCCTAATGCTAAGCAAGAGAAGTCATTGCATCTATTTGCACCCAGAGAGATTATTTTGTTTGACTCATTTTTTATCTGTCTTTAATTTTTTCTTAATTTTTTTAATCTTAATGATTGAACTTATGTTACCTTCTAAGGTTGAGTAATTGAACGAGTTTTAATCTTGAGTTCTTTGAATATCAAATGAATTAAGGATTCTTTTAATTCTTCAAGAATTATAGATTTTTGACATGTGACAAGATTATACCTTTCTTATCATGTCCAACCCCAAATTAAAATCTCTCGATTCTTGACCCAAAATAATTAATGGCCACTGCCAAAGAACCAAATTTTGACATTCCTTTTCTTTGAGACTTTTAAACATTGCCTTTATCTTTTTTTCGAGACACAAAAAGTCATACCTTATTTTTCATTGAGCTAATAAATTCACACCATCGTCTTCCTAGACTTCAAACCAACATTTTTCTACCAATAAGACCTACATACATTGAGTACAAGATTGTTCACTTGAACATGAAGCTTCCTACAAGAAGACAACATGGGCATATCACATTAAGTTTCTGAAGATGAGCTTGTACAATTGAGACACGCTGAGAGCAAGAAGCAGAGAAAAAGAAAAATAATTCAAAATAATTCTATCATGCATTAATTACATTTTTTCATGTGAATAAAAATTATTCCTTAGTATTTATCCCCCTAGGGATACATCTTCTGTAAAGACTTCTGTGTATGAAATGATGAACGACATTCTTTCATTAATCCCTTCACAAAAGGAGAAAATATACCCCTTGTGTCCCCTTTGAGCCTAAATCATGTTTTCTTCTGATTCAACCCTAACCAAGGATCACCCTCCACACTGAAGACATCGATTCAGAATAAATACTGAAAGGTGAACCAAATGCCAAGTGCGAAGGTTAAATCAAAGCGAAGAGATAAGAAAAAAGAAACAAAGAATAGCAAAGCAAAAACAAAGAAAAGAGCAAAGAAAAAGCAAAGAACAAAAAGAGGACAAAGAGCACAAACAAAGAGTCTCTCGACTCAGATGACGCATCGAGCTTCAAACTGTGAGATTGATCAAGCACAATTATTCCAGAATCACTTCACTCGAAGATCATGAAGCATCCAGAGAAAATCAAGAGAAACACATACGAGAAGATTCAAATTGAGCATGACAAGATCGAAGGCATCAGAGTTAATTGATCCTTGGTTCAATCACCCTTAAACACTTGTTTGGGCCTTTTATCAATTTCTTTCATAACCATGAACCATGGCCTACATTACGTGCCTTAAAAGTCCATTCTAATTATACGTGGATTTCTAAACAGAAGAGACTATCTTCATATTTCATCCCGCCCATCAGGATTAATCTTTTATTTATAAAAAGGGTTTTTTCTAAAAACATTAATGCATGATAGAAAAAAATAACAAAGGGGGTTCAAGACATAAATTCTGAGTAATGTCTTGAAACCAAAGGAGGATTCGAGTTGAAAACCTGAAAATGCGGCTCGAATATGAAGACTATTGCATAGGAGGCGATCACACAAATCCCTTGATGAGGCATCGCACAACATGAATGAGAACATGAGAGCTGGGAGTCGGAGAACACTTCCAATAATTGAGTACATAAGTTACTTCAACAGATCAGTGAACATCAAATAAATGAGAATACCAAACCTTTGACCAAAAATAACCGCTTATGACTTTTTTATCCTTCCTTAAACCATTCCTCAAAGATAGCATTGATCTTGACATTTGTCAAATAGCTATAATTTATTGAAGAATTAACAGTGTAATTAATTCTTTGATATACAATGAGCTCTTGTTTTATGATTTTTCAATTGTGAAACCTTGAAAGGGGCAATATTTTCAAAATCTTTGATTAAACATTTTTAAAACTCTTTTGATAGATATTTTTAGACTTTTGAAAATAAAAAGAAAAAGGAAAACATTTTCAAACAAGATAATCTCTTTGGATGGATATCTTGGAATTCAACGAATATCTCTCTGAAGCTCAAGATCAAAGCTGGGCCAAAAGAAGCTAAATTTGCGAGTCAAAATTTACTGGGGCAAGGAAACAAATTGTCTCAGGTCGAGGTTTGAAAGAGTACACCCTAGTGGAAATGCAGACAAATTGAATCAAAGATATAATGAAGACTGCTCTAGCAACCATTCTCCTTCAAGATCGAGAAAAACATACATCAATACATACATACATACATACATACATACATACATACATACATACATACATACATACATACATACATACATACATACATACATACATACATACATACATACATACATACAAACATATATACACATACATACATTATATATAAAAGTTGCATCAAACATTTATCATCATGTGCATTAAAGACATTTTTCTCCTCACTTGAGGACAAATTCAATAAAAAGATCAAATAAATTTCATTTTGACATCCACCATAACATCTAAGATAGTCAGTCAAAAATGCATCATTTTGATATCCCAGGAAATCAAAGCTCGAAAATGACCAAATGTCTATAACTTGAAGAAGCAATGATTTGACTTCCTGAAGTCAACAATCAAGACATTTCCTCAACATGCAGGAACAAATAGACTTTCTATCGCCTTTGAGGGTGTTTTTCGTGAAGCAAAATTTTGTCTCGCTTGAGACATTTTCCACAAATTTTGAGAGTTTTAAAACAAATTTTTGTTTCACTTGAGATAATTTCTCTTAAAAATAATTTTCGTCTCGCTTGAGACATTTTTTTCTTTGAGATACAAATTTCGAATTTGATTCACTTGAAACAAAATTAATCTCACTTGAGATTGTTATTTATTTCAAAACAAATTTCGTCTCGTTTGAGATATTTTTTTCCTTTGATATACAAATTTTGAATTTGATTCACTTGAGACAAAAGTAATCTCACTTGAGATTTTCAAAACCGATTCGTCTTGTTTGAGACATTTTCCCCTTTAAACACAAATTCTGAAATTGTTTCCCTAGAAACAAAATCGACAATCTTTGAATCTTTTTCTCTTGAAACGAATTTTTTCTTTCTTAAGACAATTTCTCTAAAAACAAATGTTACAAATGTTGTCTCACTTGAGACAATTTTCCAAATTATGAATTTGTTTCACTGGAAACAAACATCATCTTTGAGTCGTTTCTTTTGAAATAAATGATCTTTGAGTCTATTTCTTTTGAAACAAACCTTTGTCTCTTGAGACAGATTTTATTGAAAAATCTTTGAGTCTGTTTCACTAAAAACAAAATAAAAAATCTTTGAGCATGTTTCTTTCATAACAAAATTTTGTCTCTTTTAAGAAAGTTTCTTTTGAAAGAATCTTTGAATTTGTTTCTTTGGAAACAAAATTTTGTCTCACTTAGATACAATTTTCTGAAAAACAAAGTTTTGTCTCTCCTGAGACAATTTCTTTTGAAAAATCATTGAATATGTTTCTTTGGAAACAAAATTTTGTCTCTTCGGAGACAATTTCTTTTAAGAAAAATCTTTGAGTCTGTTTCCTTGGAAACAAAATTTACCTATCTTTGAGCTTGTTTCTCTTGACACAAAAGTCTGTGAGTTGTTTCTTTTGAAATAAAAATCTTTGAGTTGTTTCTTTTGAAAAATTCTTTGAGTATGTTTCTTTTGAACCAAAGTTTTGTTTCTCTTAAGACAATTTCGTGAAAAAATCTTTGAGTCATTTCTTTTGAAACCAAAATCTTTGAGTTTGTTTCTTTTGAAACAAAGTTTTGTCTCTCTTGAGACAGTTTTTCTTGAGAAAAATATTTGAGTATGTTTCTTTTGAAACATCATCTTTGAGTCGGTTTCTTTTGAAATCATCATCCCTAAAGATAGCCAGAACTCTTCATCACGTATAAGTCGTGTCATCTCCTGACCAGATCTCTTCATCACGTAGGAGCCATGTCACCCCTAGATAACCAGACGTCCTCATCACGTAGGAACCGTGTTATCGCCCTTTCTATAGATGACCAGAACTCTTCATCATGTATGAGCCGTGTCATCCCCCGACCAAATCTCATCATCACGTATGAGCCGTGTCACCCCTAGATAACCAGCCGTCCTCATCGCGTAGGAACCGAGTTATCACCCTTCCTATAGATGACCAGAACTCTTCATCATATATGAGCAATGTCATCCCCGACCAGATATTCTCATCATGTAGGATCCGTGTTACCCTTAGACGACCAGACTTCTTCATCGCGTATAAGCAGTGTCGTCCCCACCAACACACATATTCAATTTATAGGCGAAAGAAAGAGAACCAGACAAAAATGTGTTGTCTTGTCGTCTTTTCCCTATTCTTGTTAACACAAGAATGTGCAAAGAGGGGCAGCTGTAGACACCTGTTTTTGTCCGGGTCTTTTTTATTTTGTTTTAATTATTATTATCGTTATTTATATTATTATTATTATTACTAATTACAAGTTACATTTTGCAGGCCAATCCCGAGGCCCAAACCTGAAGCCCACCAATTACAACCAACAGAAGCTCCAGCAACCCACCAGCAGCAGACCCAACAAGCTGGAGCCCAGACCCAGTTCAGGCCCAATACCAATTCCAGACCCGATTAGCGACCCGACCCGGTTCCCTAGGGTTTTTGAAACCCTAACCTTAGGGATATCATTAGCTCAATCGCCGCTTGCTGCTGCTGCCACCCACTGATGCCGTCGTTCTAGTCTGCAGTGAGGAGAAATTTACATCAATAGTAAAAAGCAAGCACAAATCAATCAAGGGAAACCCATTTTAAATTACCCTAAATCCCGAAAATATGGGATTTTCACCCAGCTATATAGAGAAATCAAAGCCTATCGAATAGATGTTATCATCTCACCCAAAGAGACCATAAAAAGTAACATGCAATCAAAAGAAGGGGGATACCATTTTCGAGAGAAAAAAAACAAGAGAGAAACCGAGAGGGTGTTTCCATAACAAAAGAAAAAAAGGGGAGTGGATTAGGGGAAATTCGAACCACAGCAAAGAAAAAAATAGAGGAGATATTTACCTAGGTTCGAAGTAGGAGAGCCCCAAAGTCACCGTGGAATCCGAGAGGTCGCCCTAGTCTCGATGTTTTCGAAGGTATCTATCCTAAATCTAAAGGTTTAGGTTTGATTTTAGGCTAAGGTGTGGTGTTTTTCGGGTTGCTAAGGGGGAGAGGAAGCTTTTTGGGTCTCTCCCTCTCTCTCTCCCGGCCGTTGGCTCTGCCGCGTTTCCCTCTCTCTGGTGAGGGAAGTTGAGAGAGCTTGTTTAACTCTCTCATTTCCCTCTTGTGAAGAATGAAAGAAATGAGGAAATGGGATCTCACAGCCTGTGTTTTGGGCTTTTATTTCCCCACCAATGCGACGTCGTTTAACGGGGGAGGGATACCGCATTTTTATATTATGAGATAACTACACTTTTAGTCCCTATGATCTTGTAATATTATTATTAAATCATTAAATGAAATCTCATTTTCTTTGATTTCGAGTACTTACATTTCAGAATTTATATTTAAGTCACTAGTTTGTTTATTTTACCATGTTTGTTTATATTTGACATTGGTCATATTATTTGTGATTACCTCATTCTAGTCACTGGTTTATTGTGTTATCATATTTTGTTAATATTTGAATTTAGCCATGGTATTTGTAAATTTATTATTTGAGTCACTATCCATGTTTTATATCATTTTTGTCTATATTTGATTTTGTCTTCAATATTTTCAAATATTTCAATTCGATCACTGATTCCATGTATTTTATAATCTTTGCGCTATTCGAATTTGACCACCATATTTGTAATAATTTTATTTTAGTCACTGCTGGATATTTGGTTAAATTATTGTTTAGTCCTCTATGTATATGGTTATTTTATTTTAGTCCATTATGTTTATGTATTTCTATTTTAGTCCTATTAATGAATGTTATGTCATTTTTGCGGATATTTGACTTTGGTCCCAATGTTTGTAATAGTTTCATTTTAGTCCCTGATTTTGTATGTTAGGTATTTTGGTTGATGTTCGAATTTATCCCTGACATTTATGAATATTTTATTTTAGTCATTTATGTATGATTTTATTGTACTTGGTATTCAGTTATTTGTATTATGTAAATATTTTTTTAGTTTCATTTAATGTAAATATTTTATTTTGTATTTCCAATTACATTTATTTATTTTACATTTCTATCTATGAATGAAATATTTGATTTTTATTTTCAATGACACGTATTCGTAAAATGAGCGTGGAAAGTACCACTTGATCGAAGTGGTGCGATCTTGTACGACATTTTAATGATATAGAAACTTGAAATAATCGAGTTTATGCTATTAATTTATTTATTTTAATAATGCAATGTGTGTTATTTTTAATTCATTATTTATTTCCTTTTATTTGAATGCAAACGTCAATTTCATTTATATTCTATTTGTATTTTATCGAAGAAGAAATATTCTTTTACGAATGAGAAATGGTTGAAATAGCTTTTCGGACGGAGAATTGCAAATTTTAAGATTTCTTATTGAGTTAAAGGATTTTCTTTAAATAGTTAATACGAAGCAAATTAATCAAATTTCAACAAATGAATCATAATTTAATTGTATATTCGATTCATCATTTTCACCATTATGACAACGTGTAAGCGACACAGTACCAATTTTGGGCGCTGTGGGGGTGCTTATCCTTCCCCACACGTAATCAACTCCCGAACCGTTTTTAATCGAATCTTTGGTAAATGCATACCATTTTTGTCTTAAAAAATGATTTTTCTTAAAATCGTTTTTAAAAGACATTTTTAGGTATTCGACCTACCTAATCCAAAGGTCGATGGCGACTCCCTTCAATTTAATCCAAATTAATCCAAAATACTCAATTTTCCAAAAATAAAAGTCATAACTGTTTTTAAAATAATATTTTATTGTTCTACCAAAAAAAAATGGTTATGACAGACATCTTTCGGAGCAATGAGTTTAAGTAATTAATGTCCTCGTCAATCGTTTTCCCACAGATATTCTGACGAGATTCCGGTACCGCAATGCCCCTTACACTGCACCAACGTGTAATCAATTCTCGAATCAAACAATTAGGGGTCAGGGTAGAGTAGGAGAGCACTTCCTTGGACCGAGGGCATGTCAAGTTACCCTGATTCAACCAGTTTGCGATGTATGGCCTATCATAAGTCTGGAAATCAATAAGACCCCATCAATGCAGATGATCAAGAAGAAGAACATAAACTCGAAGACTAAATACAAAAAATAGACCCGAAAGAAGGTAAAGATATGAAATCATAAAGATCATGCAAATGTTGCAGGCTAATGGAAATCAATGAACAACAATTAGCAGATTTTCTCAAGATTTTCCACGTAGTTAGAAGATTATATTGTCCACATGCATAATACAACTTATAATCCAAACACATTTCCGCCATGAAGCAATGAGTTTCAACATAAACAATGAGTAATGCTTTTGAATCTTCCGATAGACGAATAAAGACTCTAAAAACATGGCATCAACAAAAGAAAATCTAAAGAAAAAGAGAGTAAATTTCTAAATAGACAAGAAACCTCAAATTTTTTGAAAAAAAGATTCAAGGTTCTTTAAAGGATAACCTGCCCCGAAGCCACAACAACAGGATCAGCCATGACTTGACCCGAAAGAGGACACTTGAATGTCTCCGTCAGAATCGTATCATCCAATCCAAGGCCAGCGGGTTTCTTCAACTTCGATTCAGTCAAACGAGTTAATATCCTTATGGCTTGAATTGTTTTCTCGATCCCATAATCTCCTTCTTCGACTATCGTCTTCACTACGCTTTCCACTTCTTTCTTTAGCTCTGCCGCCGACTCCTCTTTTTCAGCCATTCTTGTTGAGTATTCTTTCGACAAGAAAATGGAAGAGAAAATATCGAAAACGGAGTTGATCCAACGGGTTTTCTAAAAGAAGGGTTCTTGCTTTCACATAAGGGAAAATGAAACCACAATTTTAACACACACAATAAAGAAAGAAAAGCGGGATTCTGTTTGGGAAGAGAGAAAAGAAAAGAAAGAGATTGGAAATTGGATTGAATTTTCTTAGTGGCCTTTCTTTGTTCAGTTATTCACTTTCTATAAACTTTCTTCTGTGTTATATATATATATACACTTCAATAGTTTCAACTTTCAACTATATCATCTAGCAGCCGATGCCAACCAACTAAAGGGAGATGATTGTATTACTATGTAAGGTACAGAATTTACGTCACCACAACATTTGATTGGCTAGCATTTGGATGCTCAATAATCTGTTGCCACGTAATTACTTGTTATTTGTCAAAAGAACCTTCTGTTATTAAAAAAATTCTTCTACTCTTGTTCTTGTTTTCAAGTAATTCCGTTTGCATGTTGAATTTCTTTTCCGGGTAAACCACACGTATGATTATTAATGTTTGAATAAATTTTTATTTTTTTACTAAAGTTTTAAAAAGTAATAAATTGATCATTAACGTTATTGATTTATAATAAATCTATTATTGTGGGTGACAGAAAATTGACGTAACATATCAACTGTTGATCTGATAGGTTGACCGTTTGCCATTTGATTCCCCTAGAACTCCATTCTCCTCTTTTTCTATCACTTGATCGGCAACACATTCTCTCATGTTCTTCGAATTTCAAATTTATCAGATCAAATCCACTGGGAAAAAGTAAAACAACAATAAAGAAATTCTGGGATCTGTAATTAATTTGTCAATAAATCCAATTCAATGGAGTGGAATCAAGGTGGTTTACGGTACTTACAAATGCAGCTGTAGGAGTCAGTACCGTCGATAATGTCACAATTCTTCTCGTTCACTCCAGGTGTATCCCCTGAGTTGACTCGGATTTTCGACGAGTTACGTAAAGCAACCATCGTTTCCGTCTCTAGACTCGACACCGGCGATATCAGCCGCATGCTTTTGTCTTACAACATCGAACACCGGTACAAACATGCAAGTTTTCCTTATTTTTCAAATTTGTTTGAAATTCGAATTACATTTTATTTCGATCTTAACTTTTTTCTACTTGTTTCAGTTTAAGTGGTGGTTATTGAGGAATGCTTCACAATTTTTTTTACTTGTACTTTCCTTTGAAGAAGCAATTGTTTATCCAAGAAATTCACGAGAAAAAAGAACATGTCTGTGTAGATATAAGCACAATGTTTATATGTATTTCATCTTTCTCTGAAAACTTGTTTATTGATCATTGTTTGGTTCGGAATGAATTAGGATTTTGATGTGATGTTCACCATGAAAATTATTATATTAACGGTTAAAGAATGGCTTCAAAATCTAGGAAAAGGAGATTAGGTACATGCGCCGGTTCTGCACGTAGATGATGATGCTAATTTATTACATAATAATGGGTTGAGGACCTCCTTTCTTGCTTCCATTCTTTTTCTTCAGTAGAAATAAACAAGAACAACCATCATGTAATAATTCATATTGATTAACAATGAAAAAGAAATGAAAGAAGATGAAACTGTAAGAAGGAAAGGTAGGGGAATGGGGTTAGAGGGAAGTGAAATGGCAGGTCAAACTATTAACATGTCACTTTAGTTTTTTATAGCCTACAATAATGATTGTTAACAATCAATTTGTTACAAATAAATAACATTAATGATTGATTTGTTACTTTTAAAATTTTAGTGAAAAAAAATGAAAATTTACTCAAACATTATCATTTGTGTACTTTATTTTTTTTGTCTGTGAAAGAAGAACAAGGAGTCAATACTGTGAGATTCCAAAGAATGCCATCAAAAGCTTAGCTAACGTAATTTATAATATAATTAGGACTAGGAATGAACAAATGTTGATTTGAAAAAAATGAATTTTTCGACTCAATATGGGATTAAAAATCATTTCATAACTCAACTGGATTTAAAAAAAATTCAAATTCGAATCGCATTATAAAATAAAATTTGAATAACTCAAAATTTTTACTAATTAATAGATTAATTTTCAAATTCGAGTCGAATTCCTCAACTCTGTATAATATATGTATATCACATATGATAAAATATGAAGAAATATATATGTATATCATATATGATTATAAAAAAATCGTTTAAGTTGAATTCAAATATTATATAGCATTATAAATATTTACAATTAAATTTAAATAAATCTCTTAAACAAATCCCTTACGTAACCCAATCTTAAAATCATGTGCTCACTTGACCTCACTAGTCCGTACTAATCTCTTATCTCTTTATCAATGAATGTTGCTTGTCGACTTGTCTGGACATTGCTCTCGATCGATATCTTTGCCTTGAGCTCCCACGTATGAAGAAGAAGAAAAGAGGAGAGGAGAACTCTAGAAGCTTGGATTTTTTTGCTTCCTCTCATCCACGTGGGTTACTCCCTTAAAAATGGAAAAATAAAAATCTTTCTTTGCCAAATAACCATTTTACCTTTTACTTAATTTAATAATTACCAACAATCCTTCACACAATATTTCCAAATAAGTCATTGAACTTTTCAATTTTTTGAAATCATACCTCAAAGTTTCAAAAATTCCATTTTAGTCACTAACCCTGATTTTGGGATATTACAACCTAAATATGAGAATTGATATTACGTGGGGATGGCAATCGGGCGAGGCGGGTGCGAATATCCCTTCCCCATCACCATACCTACCTAATATTTTTCATATCTACTACTTAACCACCACCCACGATGGGTAAAAAATTTAAATCCACACCCACCCACGCAGATACATTCTCAAATCCATCCTCACACCCACTACCAACTGATACCCACCATCCATCTCATACCCATTTATATCTGCCCGTACCCGTCCATACCCACCAATTTGAGATATGAGAAACAATGGTATTCAATTCTAAAAATGTTTATACCCTAACATTTGGTTAAATTACAAGTCATGTTCTATAAAATCTTAAGATTTACAGAATAGTCTCTAGAATTATATCTAAATTCATAATGGTCCAAACTTTATACGGTAAGTAAGTGGGCTGGCGGATGTGGGGCGGGTGGATGCGGGGCGGGTAAGGTCTCAAACCCATCGCCTACCCATTACCCACGGCGGGTATGATTTCTTACATCACACCCGCCCACTACCCACTAAACTTATACCCATCCTCTCCCCAATTAGAGCGGATACGGTGCGAAACCCATGAAATTATACCCATCTGTCATCCTTAATATTATGTGAGGTTTCTAACTTTTAAGATTAAATTTGAGAAAAATTATTCGAATATTCTTAAAAAAACAACAGATTAAATGAATATTTCGGATATTAGGGGTGTGCAAAAAATCTGATCCGTTGATCTGATCCGAAAATTCGGATATCCAATCCTGTTTTTAATTATCAAAAAACCCGATAAAAATTGGGTCTGTGAAAATGTTTAACCAGAGTAATTCAAATATCCTAGCCCAACCCAGCACTCCAAGCCTACTAAAATTTTAATCCAGTTCAGCCCACTCCACAACTAACGCCCCAGTTAATGTTGAAATGGAATTCTCTTACATTCTGTTTTTATATATAAGTTTATAATTAATTCATTTTTTAATGTTGTGAAACATTAGATGGAAATGATTTAATATTAGGAAACAAATTTAGAATTTTCAAAATATTAAAATTTATAATATATCTATAAAATCATTTTTCTTGTATCATGAAAGAATTTAATGGTGCTTTTCACTCAAAAAATTGGAATTTGAATTATTAATATGCAAATAAAATATTAAATTTATAATTAATTTTTTTATCAAATTAAAATTTATATTCAGATCGAATATATGAATATTCGACCCGAAAATTCGGATATCCGATTTTTTATATCAGATACGAATTACAATTTTAATGATCCAAAATTTCTGTCCGTATCCAAAAATACACACCACTACCGGATACTCTCATCTTCTGAGAAACATGCAACCTCTCCAATTACGTGGTTCAGCTATGTTTTGGGTATTTAAAAAAAAAAGCTATGTTTTGGGCTTAGGAGCTTTTAGATGATCATGTGTAATATGTTCGATAATTTGGTCAAAAGTTTAATATATATTTAAAAAATAATAATAGTAATTATCAATAAAAACTAAATAAATTTGAACCAACTTTAAAAAACATAAAAACTCAACATTAATTAAAATTTCAATTATGTTTTTATTGGTTCAACCGATAATTTTTTTTACTGATTTGATAAAATTTCAATTAATTCAACGAATAAACCCGGTCTATTTCAATTAATGTCGACTGCAGTGATGTCGAAGAGATCCCGCCATGGACGGTGGATTGAAGTCAGGGATTGGGTGGTGCCCTTAAAGCTAGAGAATAAAGAAGACGTTTCCCGGGCAACAATAACCCCAAAAAACAGAAGAAATAAGAAAAAGATACAGAAGACGGAGAGACTTAAATCGAACAGATCAATAACGTAAATGATCAAGCACACTTAATTAAAAAACCGATAACCAAAGTAGGTAAGACCGAAAATAATGGGGGACTACTGCATAGTTTACCCAAATTTAAAATAATATAAACAAAAACAATTAATGTGTTTATATTACAATATTTAAAATATGTAAAATTATAGTGTTTAAATACATTATAAAAAATTAATATGATTTACTTTTCAGATTTAATTTAAAAAATAATATTATATATTAAATGAAATTTAATATATGTCCTTTTTCTATTAGAAAAATAAAAATAAACATGAATTATTATTTAAAAATTAATTAATAATATGATATGAATATTCTCAAATAATAAATGCAGGCAATAAATTACCACTTCCAATTAAAACAAATCCCCCATAAATTTATTGTTGCATAGTCGTTATCTATTAATTAAAGGGTAAACTACACAAATGGTCACTGATGTTTGGACAAGTATTCGTTTTCACTATTGATGTTTGAAAAGTCACAAATCGGTCACTAACGTTATCGTTTGTTACAAAATAGTCACTCGATGTTAACAATTGTTATTGTGGGTTACGAAAAGTTGATGTGGCACGTTAACTACTAATTTGGCACCGTTAAACCATTATTTTGACCCACCCTTCTCTTCCATCTCAACTCTCTCATCTCAATCGCTTTGAAGAAATGTGG